AGAGAGAGAGAGAGAGAGAGAGAGAGAGAGAGAGAGAGAGAGAGAGAGAGATAAAGAGAGGGAGAGAAAGACCGGGAAGGTGGAAAATGTGATATCGACTAAATAAAGCTCAACAGAGAGGAGGGAATCCTAAACGACGGAGTGGAAAGATGTTAGAGACTTTAAAAATCTACGCTTATTGTCATGTTCTCTTTGATTTGTATAATAAAAAAACGCCGAAAGATGTTTCCGCAGCTATGTTGTACTTTCTTTAGCTCGTACTAAATATGAACTTTTGCTCCACAACCGCATGTGCCCAAGCAACAACAACAAAAAAACGCACACAGACGTAGACATTACTAAAATAAATACCCATTTGCATACATGACAAAAGATCCAGGTCCACTTAGGTGAGAACTAATTGAAATCTTAAGTTTGTTTTCTATTCAATTTATATTTTTCCTTGGCTAAGTACGTCAATTTTTCTTTCTTCCTTTCTTTCTTCCTTTCTTTCCTTTCTTTCTTTTTTTCTTTCTTTCTTTAAATTTCTTCCGCATGGGGGGGGGGGGGGGGTATGTATAAAATATAGAGAGGTTAGATACTTACGTGGTCCTCAAAATTCAAAATACTGAGTCTATGCAAGTGCAAGCTAAGTCTTTAGGACACACCCACACTAGTCTAATCAAGTTGAAAGAAATTAATCCATAAAAGGTGCTTCTCAACTGCATCATACATGTGTTACGTGAGGGTCATATGTAACATACATGTCGTATTGTGTTCTCGTCTCATGTGACATAACATGTGTATTGTTTTCTCGTCAAATGTAACATACATGTATTGTGTTCTCGTGAAATGAAAAATGCACGTATTTTGTTTCTTGTCAAATGTAACATACATATATTGTGTTCTGTTTATTGCAAACCCCCTCCCCCTCAAAGTTTTTACTCTTTTGACCACATTTTGTTAAAATGATAGCCTTAGAATTTTTAGGTTAATTATCACGCTGTTGTTGCTGTTGTCTTCGTTTGTTATCATTGTTAAAGTTGTTGTCGTTTTTTGTTGCTGTTTTAATAGTTATATTTGTTAGTGCGCAGGTTAAAAGTTGTGCAGGATATACAATTCATCAGTTCAAATACAAAATACTCAGCACTCAATCAGGAACAAGTGTAGAGGGATAATGTATCTGACAGGCGCTGTTAAAATAACATGCAATAAAATTGAATCATTGAGACACCAAACTTATACACATTTACAAGACCTCCATTCAAGCAAACATAATAGCATTAGTAAAGCGCATATTCCGGCACAACAGCATTTATGCGCTTTGCAGGCTGAAATATTATTATACCGGCAGACCCGAAAACACGCACAAACGTTCTCGGCTTCACGGGAAGCATTGCGGGCAAAAGTATCAACTCAATGTCAGAAAAAAATTCTTTGCTTTGAAGACACTTATAATCTTGTGTCAGCGCAATGTGTAGGTAACTGGCGACCTATTTTTCATCTCTGTAGATTGTACCAGACTAGAACCATTTTCACAGTCGATTTTCTATTTAACGCATTTTGAAAAGGTGTACAAAATCTGCACTCAGGTGGATTAATAAAGCAACCCCCCCCCCCAAACCTCGTATTTTTGTTCAACCGTGGTTTGGAGAAGTCGTAAACGTTGGTATGCTACAACAAGAGATGTGAGATAGGGAAGAAGGAACACAGTAATTATGGACTCATAAATTTGCTAGTTTTAACACAATCAAGGGCAGCAATTACTACAATTTTCACACAGTATGGCGTGTTTCTACAGTACATTAAACAGACAAAAGTATGTTCCACGGGTACAAGTATCATTATGAAACACACCTGAATCAGCTTAAAGAATCAAACGGAATTTTTAGTGTAGGCATCTTTTCTAAAAGTACACTGTTTGGCTCTTGATCATTGTTTCATGCATTTCTTTACGACAATAACTTACCTTGCATCTTCTAACGTCGCCGGAATTGATTTCCTCAAGAAATTGAACCTAGCCAACCTTGAGCTGCGCTCCAGAAGAATGCCGAGTTTGAAATCTGAATAGGTCGTATTCCGATACAGATTTAAGAAACAGAGCCTAGTTCTGTTTTCTACGAAGTGGTTGCTTCCTCAAATGTCCTGATTTTTGTAAACCACTGCATGTTTCATGAACACAGCAAAAAGATTTTGAATGTGAAAACTTTCTTCTTTTTAGCCTTGAGTAGTACTTTGCTTCAATTTCCATCCTTTTGTTTTTAATAAGCTGAACTTGAGAGTAAGCTGGCAAGCTGACAACGCCATGGGACCAAGAACAGTTTCGGTTAAGATAACAACACTGAGGAGAACAGAAGAAGCAGACATTACCAGAGTCATCATCTTCAGTTGCCTATCAATACTTATGGTGATGGTATTTGTGATTTAAGCCACACAAGAAGATTTACCGGCCACAAGACCTGTTTTGGATCCACAATATCTTTAACATTTTAGGCATTGGAAGCTTGCAAGTTTGGAAGTCCCCACATTTCAGTCACTATGATAGTCTGCTATGTCTGGTGTTGTGAAAGTTTAGGTACATTTCTTGCCTTCTCCGATCAACTGCAGCCCTGGACTGTCGAACTGTCGCACGCCATGTTGGACTATCAATGACAAATTCTTTTCCCCAGGTGGTGTCATCTTTGTTACGGTTGATCATACAGTGTTTGAGGACATCCTTGTAACGTTGTTTCTATCCGCTTCTTTTTCTCCCATATTCACAGAGCTCTCCACAAAAAACGCTATTTTGAAGACGCAAATCTGGCATCTGTGCCACACGACCCGTCAATATCAGCTGTGGGTCTATCATCATAATAACGTCTTCATTGAAAGAACAATCAGTGGTCAAATAGCGGTGCTACATCGTCAGACTTCGGAGTCTACCCACTGGGTATTTCCTCTGGTTTCGGCCATTTTTCTAGATAGGTTGTGCTCTTTTACTTGTGTCTGTGAACTCATGTTTGTAGACGCGGGAAATAATTACCTTCTTGTTCCTGTTGTTGTAGGAGGTACTTTGTTGTAGCTGAGTCTGGAACAACTGCAGGTGTCATCTCTGGCTCAAACGTCAATGTGTACTGACCCTCTATCGCTTATGGTCGCTTGCTGCTCTCATGGATTTAGCCCAGTCCATACTTTGATGTTATTAGTTGTTGTTTGATGTATTTAAAAAACACAGTATTCACCTAGAGAACTCACCATTCAAAGAAATCGGTTTGTTGTTTCAGCTATTGTTGATTTATGACACGTATGCTACTCACCTTGAGAACAATTTTGGCCTGTGAACTCCGAAGGACACAGACAGAGAAAACCGTCGTCTTTATTGATACACGTTCCACCATTCGTGCATGGACTAGAATCGCACGCGAGTGGGACAGCTGAAGAGAAGTAGTAAGTCAAAAACCTTTTATAGTACAGCCCTAGTAATACTCACAATAACATACATTGGAATACAGTAACAACAGTACAGATTGTAATAATGCATGTTAGAGGGAATAGGTAGAGGTAAATTTATTGTCCGTGATTTCTTGTCCTAAATGTCTCTTCAATTGCCCTCTTGTGTTTTCGTAAAATATTTCCGTGATGTGTTTCTGTGAAAATTCAAATGAAGGATCCCGGTCAGTTTTAGTGTTATTCACACTTGGTTCATTACTACATGAAAGGTAATGTTACATAAATTATCAATTTTCTGTCCTATATGTCTTTCCAGTTGTGCTCCATTGTTCCCGAGAAGTGTTTCCGTCGGTTCTCGCTTTATTCTCCCTTTGATTCACGACAAGTCAATTACTTACCTACAGAACAGGTCGTTCCTGTGAAATTTGCTGGACACACACACAAAAAGTTGTTTCCCAGGTTCAAACACGTGCCGCCATTGAGGCAGGGAGAAGACTCACATGGCTCTGCTGGGATAGCTGAAAGATGTGTGTTAAATATTAATCGGTACTAAAGAATACTCCGCCGTCAACTTTTGAACGTTTCTTTTTCGGAAATTTTACCGAGCCCCCAACGCTTTCTGCAATGCTGTTTCAGTCTACTATAGAATTTTGAGACTATAAAATCATCCGGCATGCATCACTGGTAAACAATAATCTTTTTGAATCCTTCTGCCTCGCCATTATTGGTATGTTTTGGCCTCGCCCATGTCGAAGGGCTAGAACTCAGATGGCCTCTGGATCGGAAAAGTAAAGTAATTAAGTTTTGGCCTTGAAAGGTAAAGAAAAAAAATCAAAGTAAGACGGTAACATCAAATACAATGAGCATTTTAGATTGACAATTGTCCCCAACACGATGTAGTACAAATAGTAAAAATAGTCATAAAATTTCATTCCAACTGTTTACACTTGCATGTATCCAACATAGGCACAATACTCACCAACAGAACAGTCTCGTCCTGTAAAGTCTACAGGACATATACACAAAAAGTCGTCGCCTTGAGGCACACAAGTTCCGCCGTTGGTGCATGGACTTTCCTCACACGGATCAGATGACACAGCTGGAGATTGGTAGAAGGCAGGGATTTGGAATGCTATTTCTCTTGGTTTCTCTTGAGCTTGGACATCTTTGTAGACATAAAATAGCTTCTTTCTCTCGGGTAGCACTTCATCTCCAGTTGTTTGAATAACTCATTGTTTTCATATTGAAGACTTTTCAAAATAAAAAATAGCAGTTGTAAGACTTATTTTTGTAAACATTCAAAGTATTGCCTTAAATTTCACAATATTTTGGCAGTACTGAGCTCATGGAAGAAGCAATAATATAGTTCTACAGCAACGCAAACGTAAAAGGTAATGATACATATTGGATTCCTTGTTCTAAATGTCTCTCCAGTTGCGGTCCGAGATTTCTTTCGATTTGTGTCTGTTCCCGTGTTTTTCTCACTTTCATTCATGACAAATCAATTTCTTACCTACAGAACAAATCGGTCCTGTGAACTTTGCTGGACACACGCACAAAAAGTTGTCTCCCTGGTTCAAACACTTGCCGCCATTGATGCACGGAGAAGACTCACACGGCTCAGCTGGGATAGCTGAAAGTTGTGGGTACACAGGAGTACATAGCAGGACCAATAATAGACATATACGAGTTAGAAATATAAATCTAGGGTTTAGCCAAGCTGGATTTTGGTTACTTGCAAAGAGTAAATCCAACAACTAATGCATCTTTTTGCGATGAATTGTTTGGCTTTTCCCTAATGTTTCGTTGATTTTACAACACAGAATGGTCATAAATACACCCGGTATTCCCCGAACTGTAATCATTTCAGCATGAAGTCAATTCGTCCTGGTCGGTACGGCTGCTTGTAGCAGTATGTACTCACAGAATTCTTTGAACTCGCAACAACAACAAAAATCAGCGCGTCTTACTTGTCTTCTCGTCTTCAGCCAATGCAAGGGTCTCCATTTCTTTTGGTTTCTATTGGGGAAGGGGGGAAGGGGGCGAAAGTCTTAGCATAGGCACCAATACTACCCTACATAGAAGTCTTCGCCTGTGTATCCTGCACCATACACGTGCCCAAAGCTGTCCAATTCATTATAACAGGTTCCGTTGATGTGCCTTGGTTTAAACTCACAGAGATAGGTTACAACAGCTGTAGAGTAAAAGGAGTACATAACGTTTTATCTCAGGACTTCTGCAGTCTTATAAGGGTATTATGTTGATGTGCCTTGCTCGACACAGAAAAAAGTATTTGGAACGTCAACGCATTTTTTATGCTGTTTAAAGCACCAAACGCGTTTTATAATGCTGTTTAAGTCTACAATAGAATTTAGATACAGTAAAATACAGTAAAACCTGCAGACATCACAAGTAAACACCAATCTTTTTGTACGCCTTTGGTCAACCTCAGTGAGGAGCCTTGCCATTGTTGGAACGTTTCGGCCATGAAAGGAAAAGGAATCAAAGTAAGGCAATAATATTCAATACAGTGAACATTCTACATTGGAAGCCTGTTTTCACAATGATGCAGTAACAAAATTCACAGAATTTCTTTCCAGCTGTTTCATGTTTCCACTTGCTTGTATCCAAAATAGGATAAATACTCACGAATAGAACAGTCTTTTCCTGTAAAGTCTACGGTACACACACACACACAGAAAGTCGTCGCCTTGCGTCACACAAGTGCCGCCGTTGGTGCATGGATTTTCCTCACACGGATCAGATGGCACAGTTGGAGATTGGGAGAAGGCAGGATTTTGGAATGCTATTTCTCTTGGTTTCCCTTAAGCTTGGATATTATTATGTTCGTAAACACAAAACAGCTGCTTTCTCTCAATTGGCACATCGTTTTAGATCAGATGGCACAGTTGGAGATTGGGAGAAGGCAGGGTTTTGGAATGCTATTTTTCCGGATTCCTTTGGAGCTTGTGGGACATCTTTATAGCCACACAACGGCTTTTTTCTCTCTTGGCGCATCAGCTCATGCTGCCGGAATCTTTAAAATTTCTGTGTGGGTATTGTTTAATACTGCATAGCTGCATACTCTTATTTTCACTCTTAAAATATAGTTCTACTTCACAGCATTCTGCTTGCTTTGAGCCCTAAGCAGTAACACATTTGAGTGCAGCAGTACAAATGTAAAAGGTAATTGTAAATAAATCATCAACGTTCTTGTCTTTAATATCTCTCCTCTGCACTCGTAAAGTGCTTCCATCGGTTTTCGTGTAATTCTCACTTTGATGCATCATACGTCAATTAGGTAATTGATTTCCAACAGAGCAGGTCGGCCATGTGAATTTTGCTGGACACACGCACAAAAGTTGTCTCCCTGCTTCAAACACGTGCTGGAGAGTGGTGGGTGGAGATTACTCGATACTCTAGAATTTTCCGTAGTCTTTTTCTGAAGATTTATTTTTCGTCAACATTTTATAGAACAATCTACAATGTTTGCAGAAGACAGGAAAGCGACTGACCTGAAGTACTGAAAAACAGACTGAAAGTTTTCTAAAAATCATCTACATCTAAGTGGCGATCTCAACGTGGCAGTTTTTCCCATGGATTCTACGGCCAGCTCCTCCTGTTCTGAGAACAGCAGTCTGCACAAAGACTGGAATACTGGAAATTGTCACCTCAAAACCTAAGATGAAAAAAAAAATAATAATCTCTGCAAGTTTCTCCGGAACATTATATGTCCTTACCAGTAGACGGGTGCACCATACGAGATGTCCTCCTGTTTGATCTTCGCATATGGCTGTGGTGACAATTTAACGTTTCCTTCTTTTCCGGTATCACAAAATTCCTTTCGCAAAAAGAGGTATGAGGGCGAAGACTTTGCAACGCTCAGAAAGAAGCGACAGAGCCAAGAACGAAAAAGTGGTCCCGTTTGTATCTCTGTAAGCATCGCCCTTACTACTGAACTTTCCGATGTTTTTACACTCTAGTGTTTACTCTGTCTCATAATACATACCAACAGAACAGTCTTGTCCTGTAAAGTCTACAGGACATATACACAGAAAGTCGTCGCCCTGAGGCACACAAGTGCCGCCGTTGGTGCATGGACTTTCCTCACATGGATCAGATGACACAGCTGGAGATTGGTAGAAGGCAGGATTTTGGAATGCTATTTCTCTTGGTTTCCCTTAAGCTTGGATATTATTATGTTCGTAAACACAAAACAGCTGCTTTCTCTCAATTGGCACATCGTTTTATGTTGTCGGAACCAATAACGTTTTTGTTTAAAACTATATTAATAACCTCTTACTTTCTCTTTCACACTAGAAAATGTGGTCCTACTTCAAAGCATTCTACGAGCATTGAGCTCCAAGCAGCAACAGTATGGATTGCAACAACACAAAATTAAAAATTAATGGATCATGCATTATCAACATTCTTGTACTAAATATCTCACCTACAGTCTTCTGTTCTTCCCGTGAAGTTTTTCCGTCAGTTTTCACGTTATCCTCACTTTGATTCGTGACAATGACTTGTCAATTACTTACCTACAGAGCAGGTCGGTCCTGTGAACGTCGATGGACACACGCACAAAAAGTTGTCTCCCTCGTTCAAACACTTGCCGCCATTGATGCACGGAGAAGACTCACATGGCTCTTTGAGGACAGCTGGAGAGTGGTGGGTGGAGATTACTCGATACTCTTGAATTTATGCGGTCTGCTTTTGAATGGTTATTTCTCGCCACTATTTTAAAGAACAGCCTGCCAAGTTTGAAGAACACAGAAAAGCGACTGATCTTAAATACTGAAAAAGAGGATAAAAGATTTCTAAAATGTATTTTACATTTAAGCGGCGCTCTGAAATTAGCGGCCTTTCTCCATGACACCTTCCTATATGAAAATAACAGTCTGCACAGAAACCGGAGTACTGGAAATTGCCAACTTAAAACCCAAGATGGACAAAAAAAGATAATCTCCTCAAGTTTCTACGAAACTTTATATGTCTTTACCAGTAGACAGGCGCACCGTACAAGATGTCCTCCGGTTTGATTTTGGTATATGGCTGTGGTGACAATTTAAAGTTTCCATGTTTTCCTGTATCACGAAATTCCTTTCACACAAGAAAAGGGTGCGATAGCGATGACATGGCGACGCTCAAAAATAAGCGACGGAGCCAAGAACGAAAAAAAATGCTCTCGTTTGTATCTCTGTAAGCATCGTTCTTACTACTGTACTTTCCGATATTTTTACACTCTAGTGTTTACTCTGTCTCATAATACATACCAACAGAACAGTCTTGTCCTGTAAAGTCTACAGGACATATACACAGAAAGTCGTCGCCCTGAGGCACACAAGTGCCGCCGTTGGTGCATGGACTTTGCTCACACGGATCAGATGACACAGCTGGAGATTGGTAGAAGGCAGGATTTTGGAATGCTATTTCTCTTGGTTTCCCTTAAGCTTGGATATTATTATGTTCGTAAACACAAAACAGCTGCTTTCTCTCACTTGGCACATCGTTTTATGTTGTCGGAACCAATAACGTTTTTGTTTAAAACTATATTAATAACCTCTTACTTTCTCTTTCACACTAGAAAATGTGGTCCTACTTCAAAGCATTCTACGAGCATTGAGCTCCAAGCAGCAACAGTATGGATTGCAACAACACAAAATTAAAAATTAATGGATCATGCATTATCAACATTCTTGTACTAAATATCTCACCTACAGTCTTCTGTTCTTCCCGTGAAGTTTTTCCGTCAGTTTTCACGTTATCCTCACTTTGATTCGTGACAATGACTTGTCAATTACTTACCTACAGAGCAGGTCGGTCCTGTGAACGTCGCTGGACACACGCACAAAAAGTTGTCTCCCTCATTCAAACACTTGCCGCCATTGATGCACGGAGAAGACTCACATGGCTCTTTGAGGACAGCTGGAGAGTGGTGGATGGAGATTACTCGATACTCTTGAATTTATGCGGTCTACTTTTGAATGGTTATTTCTCGCCACTATTTTAAAGAACAGCCTGCCAAGTTTGAAGAACACAGAAAAGCGACTGATCTTAAATACTGAAAAAGAGGATAAAAGATTTCTAAAATGTATTTTACATTTAAGCGGCGCTCTGAAATTAGCGGCCTTTCTCCATGACACCTTCCTATATGAAAATAACAGTCTGCACAGAAACCGGAGTACTGGAAATTGCCAACTTAAAACCCAAGATGGACAAAAAAAGATAATCTCCTCAAGTTTCTCCAAAACTTTGTATGTCTTTACCAGTAGACAGGCGCACCGTACAAGATGTCCTCCGGTTTGATTTTCGTATATGGCTGTGGTGACAATTTAAAGTTTCTATGTTTTCCTGTATCACAAAATTTCTTTCACACAAAAAGAGGTCTGATGGCGAAGACATTGCTACTCTAAAAAAAGAACGACGGGGCGAAGAACGAAAAAATGCTCCCGTTTTTATCTCCGTAAGCATCGTTCTTACTACTCAACTTTCCGATGTCTTTCATGTAGATATTGTTTACAACTATATAAATACACAAAATAGCTGCTTTCTCTCACTTGGCACATCGTTTTATGTTGTAGGAATCTCTAACGTCTTTCATGTAGATATTGTTTACAACTATATAACCACTTATTTTCTTTTTCACACTGAAAAATAGGGTTCTAGTTCAGAGCATTCCTTGAGCACTGAGCTCCAAGCAGCAACAAATATGGATTGCAGCTACGCAAAATCAAAAGGTAATGGAACACACATTATCAACCTTCTTGTCCTAAATATGCCTCCAGTAGTCCCCCGTTCTTCCCGTGAAGTGTTTTCATCTGTTCTTGAGTTATTCTCACTTTAATTCACGATAGTCAATTACTTACCTACAGAGCAGGTCGGTCCTGTGAACGTTGCTGGACACACGCACAAAAAGTTGTCTCCCTGGTTCAAACACTTGCCGCCATTGAGGCACGGAGAAGACTCACACGGCTCTGTGAGGACAGCTGGAGAGTGGTGGGTGGAGATTACTCGATACTCTTGAATTTACGCTGTCTACTTTTGAATGGTTATTTCTCGCCATCATTTAAAAGAACAATCTGCCAAGTTGGCAGAAGACAGAAAAGCGACTTATCTTGAATAGTGAAAATGAGGCTCAAAGATTTCAAAATGTTATTCCACTTTTAAGTTGCGCTCTGAAATTGGCGGCTATTCTCCATGACATCTTCCTTTTTGAGAATAACAGTCTGCACAGAAACCGGAATACTGGAAATTGCCACCTCAAAACGCAAGATGGACAAACAAGATAATCTCCGCAAGTTTCTCCGGAACTTTATATTATTATGTCTTTACCAGTAGACAGGTGCACCATACAAGATGTCCTCCGGTTTGATTTTGGTATATGGCTGTGGTGACAATTTAAAGTTTCCATGTTTTCCTGTATCACGAAATTCCTTTCACACAAGAAAAGGGTGCGATAGCGATGACATGGCGACGCTCAAAAATAAGCGACGGAGCCAGGAACGAAAAAAAATGCTCTCGTTTATATCTCTGTAAGCATCGTTCTTACTACTGTACTTTCCGATATTTTTACACTCTAGTGTTTACTCTGTCTCATAATACATACCAACAGAACAGTCTTGTCCTGTAAAGTCTACAGGACATATACACAGAAAGTCGTCGCCCTGAGGCACACAAGTGCCGCCGTTGGTGCATGGACTTTCCTCACACGGATCAGATGACACAGCTGGAGATTGGTAGAAGGCAGGATTTTGGAATGCTATTTCTCTTGGTTTCCCTTAAGCTTGGATATTATTATGTTCGTAAACACAAAACAGCTGCTTTCTCTCACTTGGCACATCGTTTTATGTTGTCGGAACCAATAACGTTTTTGTTTAAAACTATATTAATAACCTCTTACTTTCTCTTTCACACTATAAAATGTGGTCCTACTTCAAAGCATTCTACGAGCATTGAGCTCCAAGCAGCAACAGTATGGATTGCAACAACACAAAATTAAAAATTAATGGATCATGCATTATCAACATTCTTGTACTAAATATCTCACCTACAGTCTTCTGTTCTTCCCGTGAAGTTTTTCCGTCAGTTTTCACGTTATCCTCACTTTGATTCGTGACAATGACTTGTCAATTACTTACCTACAGAGCAGGTCGGTCCTGTGAACGTTGCTGGACACACGCACAAAAAGTTGTCTCCCTGGTTCAAACACTTGCCGCCATTGAGGCACGGAGAAGAATCACACGGCTCTGTGAGGACAGCTGGAGAGTGGTGGGTGGAGATTACTCGATACTCTTGAATTTACGCTGTCTACTTTTGCATGGTTATTTTTTTGCCACCATTTAAAAGAACAGTCTGCCAAGTTGGCAGAAGACAGGAAAGAGACTGACCTGAAGTACCGAAAAAGAGGCTGAACGATTTCTAAAAAGTTTTCTACATTTAAGTGGTGCTCTGGAATTGGCGGCTTTTCCCCATGACACACTCCTTTCTGATAGCTTCCTTTCCGGGAGTACAGGAAATTGCTACCTCAAAATCCACCATGGACAACAACAAAAAATCATCTCCGCAAGTTTCTCCGAAACTTTATATGTCTTTACCAGTAGACAGGTGCTCCATACAAGATGTCCTCCAGTTTTATTTTGACATATGGCTGTGATGGCAATTTAAAGTTTCCTTCTTTTCCTGTATCACAAAATTCTTTTCTCACACAAAAAGAGGTCTGATGGCGATCACATTGCTACTCTTAGAAAGGAAGGACGAAGCCAAGAACGAAAAATAAATGCTCTCGCTTATGATGTCTCTGTAAGAATCACCCATTTCTGTACCTTCCAATGTTTCCACGTCGTACATACCAACAGAACAGTCTTGTCCTGTAAAGTCTACAGGACAAATACACAGAAAGTCGTCGCCCTGGGGCACACAAGTGCCGCCGCTGATGCATGGATTTTCCTCACACGGATCAGATGACACAAATGGAGATTGGTAGAAGGCAGGAATTTGGAATGCTGTTTCTCTAGGTTTCCCTTAAACGTGGATATTATTATCTTTGTATGCACAAAATAGCTTCTTTCTCTCACTTGGCACATCGTCCCATGCTGCCGAAATCTCTAACGTTTTTCATATAGATAATGTT